ATTTCTATAATCTAACTTCTCAACAGATCATAGAAGTCAAGTTTGATCATTTTGCGTCATGCTTAGATTGACACTTAAATGGTCTTGCTGTAACCCCAACTTGGAACAAGATGAAAACCTCTGATGAAGGAAATGTTGCTGCTGGACGTCCTGTTCCATTTGAACTGTTGATTACCAGCATTCATCAAAGACTGGTGCCGACAGCTGCTTCTCAATGGGAAGAACAACTGAGCCAATCAGAGCCCAGCTCTGCTCACAAAGGCGACATCATGTTCATACAGAGGACTACAGCTGTAGATACAGACTGGTGAAGATATGATTTATCATAATCAAAGCTTTTTATTATTTTAATGGCAGACAACTAAAAACAGGGAAGTATTAGAAATGTCAGTACAAGATTTATGAACTACTGTAAAAGGTTGGCGGCTAGTGATGCTTCAAACCTTAAGCCTACTGTATGTGACGTGCTGCAGAGCACAGATATAGTATTGAAAAATAGGAACATTTTAATCAACTGAATGGCGACTGAAGGCCACTAGCACCATGCCCTTTAAATATTTTCAATTATCCGGAAGAATGCCTGAGTAACACATGGCTCCCAGGCAAAATCCTCCTGACAGGAAACGTTTTTCAACTCTAAACAAGATTCTCTGACACGGAGTGTTTTGCTGTGATTTCTTGGAATGTTTTTTAATGAGGTAAAGCTTTATCCACTGCCCTTCTGGAGAGGGACATGGAATGATCAAAACAAGCTTTTCATTCTATTATTGTTAGGGGCTTATAAACAAGGTATAGTTTGTAAAGCCTCACAACTGCTTTTCTCCATATGTAGCTTCATAAAAGTAAGTCATTGTGCAGGTAATAGCAGCAGTCAAACAGGATTGTTGGAACAGTGGGGCTGGACAACAGCATAATTAAGATTATTCAACATGCAATTCCCCTAAATAAAACTTAAAAGTGTGTAAATGAGAAGGGATTGCAACAAAACATGGAGCTCTGAAGAGTAGATTGTAATCAATACATCGCTTGTGGCAATAATAATAAGTTGTTCTAAAGTACATGTGTCAAAGACCAGTCCGTGGGACCATAGTTTATGACCATTGGAAGGATTTTCAAACATGATTCACTTGCAGCATTGATGGTAATTTGTCATTTCAAATCTTTGGCAAGTACAAACTATATTTACCTTTGGTCCAGTTTTGGTTCAATCCAAACAAACATTAACCTATTTTGCTCAGAATAAATACACAAAAATAATATCCAAACTCATGTTATATAAAGCAGATAAAGTCATAATGTAAAACAATAAATATAATTTTTTTTCTTTAAAAAAAACACTTTAATTAGTTCTGGTCCCTGACCAGCCATTACTTTTAAAATTCGGCCAGAAATATTTTGCGTTATTTAATACTTTTTTTTCAGCAATCGCATGCAAATCAAAATGCACAAGCGATTCGTTTTGTAAAGGGGATACGACCCATTTCTTTATCACTCATACTTTTTACTGTTTGAGCAATGTCAGAGGACTTCTAGTCTTTTCTAGGTGTAGTCAAGTTTCACACGTCTGAACTTCCATGAGGAGAGGAGAGAAATCTAGGACAAGCAGAGAGAGAAGTGCTTCTAGCTGTCAAGGCCGTAACCGTGCTGCTCTTAAAAGACGTTCATTCAACCAAATTACTGAACAAGGAACCAGCGAGAAACAGTGTGAGGCAAGTATCTGCTGCTAGAAACTTCTTGTCTTGCACTGAATATATCTGAGAGAATTGAATGTGGACCTGAGGCTGCATGAATGAACCGCTCTGATCTAAATGCAGTACACAGCGCTCCGTGCTTGCTTTGTTGTTTGGACCCAGACCTTGTGTCGAGAGCCACCGATGAATTTACAATATCTACTCAAGCCCTCATTGTATTTCATTTGACTATGTTTGGCTAATAGCTCAAGTATCTGATTCAAATTCAGAGCAGACCCTGAGACGAGAGCTGGGATTCACTCTAAAAGGTAATGCTTGAATGTTTTACATCCTTTGATACGTTCTGAATAATTTCACAATCTGTAACACCAGGTATAAGTATAAGGATAAGGAAGGAAGATTATGATTTTGCTGCTTAATCCAGGTAAAATGAACATAAGACATATCTTATAGGTATGTGGAGAGACCATTAATGAAACATAAGGGACACTGCAACTTTGTATGTGAGAAAACGTTGATGAAAAAGTAGATATTTTTTGCATATTTGACGTTTTTGGCCCCTCATGGAACATTTACACTCTTGGGGTCTGTAAGATGCTATAGGACCAATTGTTTTGAAGGTTTTCTCTGCTAGTTTAGGCAGATTCATCTTGTCTTATTTGTAGAATTAAAAGTATTGGGTTCTACTATACCAGACAATATTAGGTTTTGTGATGTTATTACCTTGAGTTTTCTCTGCTGTGGGACCCCAGCACTAGAATATCTACAAAACAATTTATCTGCGAGCACTGTAGACACAATCCCAATGGAACGTATAAGGCACCATGCTGCTCACTCTTATAGCCACATGGTCACAACAAGGTCAATTTTTTTTACACATTAAAAAGTTGCATAATGCCTCTTTTAAGCAGTTGTGAGCTGAGTCAGCAAACTTTTTTAACTGAGAGTTTAGAGCCCTGTTTCCACAAGCTCTACTTGATCCTACTTTATTTGTCTCTACTAACTTTACTAATTTGTCTAACTGGTTGTGTTTCATTTGGTACTGTATCCTAGCAACCTACCCACGAATAAACCAGTATCTAGGGAAATTCCTTAGCAACCATAGCTTCCAGTAGCACTCTGGCCAATCTCACCGTCTGTTAGAACACTTTAATATCAGCGGGGCCAGGGTAGAACCAGGGCCAAGCAGGTACTAAAAATGTGTATCTGGTACCAGATAAACAAGGCTGGTGGAAACACTCCCAAACAGGGTAGAGTAGAGTCGAGAAGAGTGGAGGTGGACAGAGTAGGGTTGGTGAAATTGGGGATAGAAAGTAAAACATCATAAAATACTGTTTCTTGAGAGCAATATTTTTTCACTCCACTGATTATGTGGCTTTTTCAAACAAGACCAAACATTTTAGATTAGGAAAAGTTGTTTTTTCATTTTTGTTTGTTTGAACATTGATTTTCAACTGGAAACACTGCATGCACATCGCAACTTGGGAGAACTTCTTTCCGAGTTGCAGAGGAAAGAAGTCACAGAGCTGTTACAAATACAAGTTTAACATGACATTTGGACTGAAAGCTGTATCACTGCGTGTGCCTTGAGCGAGAAAAATGTTCTTGCGTCGCCTTCACTTGCTCCTCTTACAGCGCTGTTCCTGTGCAGGCGACAGTGCAGGGTCCTCCAACTCAGATTAACAGAGCGTTGGTGGGTTTGTCTGCACATGTCGGATTTTGTGTCCGCGCAGTCCTGTGTGTGTGATCGGTGACCTGGTGTGGGCTCTGAACAAAGTCCTGGATCAGTCCTGCTGCAGACCTGGTTTAGAGACTTGGTTCAGGTTTCTGTCAGCTTTTCTATAACACGCACAGATTGCCTCACGTGAAACCAACAGGTTATTTATGTCAGCCTCATCTACAGAGCCATACAGTACGGGGGTAAACGTTTCCGATTCTTGTGTTAGAGATATTTAGAATTACCACAAGGCTATTTCTATAAAAGAAAGAATATTATGTAAGTTGTTCAAGCTAAAACATTAATAAACCATTTTTCATTGTTCACCTAATTATAAGAAGCCGATGCATGCATGAGATGAAAGATCGTATATATGGATATCATGTATTACATGTGTGGACCTTTTAATATATTTTTCAGAGTTGATAAGTGATACTGAACTTCAGTCCAATTTTTTTTCTGGAAGACTGACTCCATTAATGGAAATGTCAAGACTGAAAGCTTCACAAATGTACAGCTTATCTTCCACCAGAGAATCGTGTACAAACAGAAAGTACAGCACAGTGATGCAGATTCAGAGAGCGCTGCATCACCACAGGAGCCACCCCCTCGCAATAAAATGGGATTTAATCAGCAGTCGCCACGGCAATTCATTCACTGCCTCATTCTCATCAAAATGGATTTTTTCCCCCGTAGCCACTGCATTTATCCACTTACATCCACACACAGAAGGGCAGAGCTACTTCGAAAACACCATTCAGGCAGATTTTTGAATGGTGTTTGTGCAAATATGAGTTTCCAACAGGTAAACTGTGTAAACAGTTTAGAGGGAAATGTGTTGAATTCAAAAGGTTAAATCCAGGACAACAACCAATTACTTAGAAATGCATAGGAAACACAAGCTAAAGTAACATCAGCTTTGATGAAATAAAAGTGCAGAGAAGTGATTTCAGATGGCTCACCTAGCCCAAGAAAAACTAGTGTATCTTTGAGTCAAGTTTAGTAGTGAAATATTCTATTAACAAGGTACGAGGTAATATTTACAGTAATTATGAGGCGCAATGGATGAAGGTTTGTCCTTTTCCCGTTCAGTTTAATAGAAATGTACTTTGTCGAGAAGGGTCTAAGGACAGGACAGTCAATGAGCAACAGCTATTCAATTTGACATCAATTTAATTGACAACACATAGAATATCATTGACAGTGGGTAGCACTCATAACTCACAGCAGGATGTCGTAGGTTTGATTCTGTGCCGATTTCTCCTTGTGCCTGACTGGGTTTCCTCTGGTGCTCCGATCTCCCCCGACATTCAAAATCAAGTGAATTTATAGTGTATATAACTCAATCTAGTTCTGTTTCAATCTGCCCATAGCAAAAAAAAAATTACCAAATAAAATAAATAACGCCAAAAACTCATATTCAAATAAAGTAATGGTTCAAAATATCAACAAAATTACGGACCAGTCAAAAAAATTGGCCAAAATAAAAACTTGCACTCTAATACAAGACCACTCCAAATTTCTGACAGAGCGACTGGATTTGACTGTCTTCAACATCCAAACCTATTGCACCTTTCCCCCTCAGTACTTACCATCCAATATTGAACTCCACATGTGCGTCGAACAGCGCCACCACCGGGGCAGTGGCCGCTCTCCAGCCGCTGACCCTGGACCGGATCAGACCCTCCTGCTTGTCGTGTCGGACCACCTTCACAAAGTCAGGACCGTGTTGGCTGTTGGTCTCATCCACAAAGCTCTGCAAGTGATCCTTCAGCTCCACTGAAAACACACAGAAAGAGTATTTACTATGCTAATGCTGTATTGATATTTCAATTTCAATTCAATGCTTTCTTGTATAGACCTAAATCTCAGCAGTAGTTATCCCGGAGGACTTTACAAAACCGTCAAATTCGCCAACACAGATCAGAGAATGAAACAGTTCAAACACAAGAAATGCAATGAATAAAAAAATACATGGAGCCCTTTGTCCATAAAGGGCAGATGATGTTGAATGTTGAGTGTCCCGGATCGTACGCTCAATCATCATTTCACTGCATGTAACGTCTGGGTCTGGTCCCCATGTCAGCGATTACAATCGCTTGAATTTCGACCGACCAATCAGCGAGTGCGGAAGGCAGGTGTTGTAGTTAGTTGTGGGTGACGTCAAGAGTTTGCGTCGAACGGGAAGGTTGTAGTTTGGCAATGGCGAAAAATGCAATAGTGAAGTATTCCGGTCTGGTTCTAAGATAATGAAGCTGGAGCAAGAGGAATGTTTAGCAAATGTAATCGCTGGAAAAATTGTGGCGCTACTCCCCACGGGCTCCGTTAGCGGCAAAGGAGATTGCTAGGCTAAATGCTAAATGCTAACAACAGACTCGGGCGCACTACATAAGTCACGGTAAACTCAGATCCAATCGTTTCAATCTGCAAAAGGAGTTAACCCCTCCCACCTGTTCATGGAGCTCAATGGAGCAGCTCCAGACTTTAGTACGAAATGTAATTTGTACTATGGTGTGGTACAACCAGGCTGGTATCAGACAGTGGGGGCGGGTCCCAGCTCAAAAGTGGCCAAAATGACGTGCGCTGACATGCTGCAATACCACCCCGGGCCGATGGGTGTGGACCCAGAAGTAGAATTAGCCAATGCTAACATATAGCATTGGCAGACCTCTGGAAAACGTCTTTACAGGATGGACCAAAAGTTGGCTCTTGGCCCAAAGCTCCGTTCCACATGTGTGTCAATGCTGAGGGGGGTGAATTTTTTTGGTCCACTCTAGTTTACTCGCTGTGAATTTTTGAAGTCTCTCGTTCAAATGAATCAAGCTGCACCGGCTGACGCATGCGCAGATGCGTTTTTTTTCACAATTTTCTTGTGGGCGGGTTCACTCGCGGCCATTTTGGATTGCTCCAGTAGAGCACATTTTTTGGCCCATTAGTTAGAACGGCGGAGATAGGCGTGACTCTGTCCGTTAATATATACAGTCTATGGTATCAGCAAGAAAAAAAAGAAAAAAAGAAAAGCACTTTTGCTTCTCAACAAGAAGGTCCTGGTCTCAAATCCTGGTCAGAACGGAGCCTTTCTGAGTGGAGTTTGCTCCGTGTGTGCGTAGGTTTCCTCCGGGTGCTCCGGTTTCCCCTACCACTAAAAACATGTACAATAGGTCTGGCATGTGTCTCCTGTATGGCAACCCTGCTCCCATCTCTGTGTGGAGTGACAGACAAATGTACACAACAATCGTAGGGTGCTTTGTGACTGTAAATAATGATAACTTACTAACTTACTTACTTTAAAAAAACCTGTGGTTTATTGAGCCATATTACTGAACAAGGAGCAAATGTAATCGTTAGAACTGCTTAGTAATAGTCGAGGTGTGTTGTGTCTTTCTCCGATTGGATTTTAGCGTTCAGACTGTTCAGAGTAAACTTAGGAAAGTAATTTACTACTGAATCAGCACTGGAGAAGAGGTTCACAAAAGAGCAGCATTTTTTGTTTTCAATTTAGTGGAGTAAAACATTGAATCAACTAAATTTTGCTGATAGTAATTGTTTTTGTTGAATGTAAAAAGGAAGATTTTGTAAAATGACAAAACAAAAAACTTTTTGTCTAACAATAACAATGTCATACGTAAGTAGTTTAATATTAGTGGTATTAAACATATCATCCCCTCAATGATGACATAAACCAGGACAAATTAAAGGTAAAATGTAGAGAGGTGTAAACAACGCATTTTTTCCAACACAAATTAAAGATGGCAACAGTATGTTTGGCATAAGTTTCAAATTTAGAATGAAAAAAATACTGGTTACTAGTTTATCTGTATAGCAAAATTCCTAAGCAAGGCAACTCAAAGCGCTGAACAAATCAAGATAGCATTAAAATCATATAATTCATATAAATATATACATACATATAAATATATACATACATATATATATATATATATATATATATATATATATATATGTATGTATATATATATATATATATGTATGTATATACAGTATATAAACACCCCAGTCCAGACCTGGGACAGACTGTCAGGGCAGGAGCATAAGGGCAGTTGAAAGGGTAAACATGCTGACGCGGTGTAACCGTGGACTTGTGCAAAGACAGTCTGACAGTGAGAAATGCTGAGCTCAATGTACACTGGATACAATAATATCAAAAGTACTTTACTGGAATCGTGAGGGGCAAGGGAAACCTCCAGCTTGGTTTATAGCTGCCACAGTATGCAACACATGCAAAGTGAATTTTTTATAATCATATGTCTCTATCAAAGAACTGGAGGTCATGCAAAGTGCCGGATAAACTCTTTTTGATAATCACTCGCGCGATCTATTGGCAGTGTCGAGAAGTATTTTGTATGAGTAATCCCATGAGCTACTTTGATCTCTGCTCTCAGTTATTGTTACTCTCAGACGCAGCAGCGCAAAAAAAATAAAAAATTCTTGTATATTGGAATGGAAATAAACTGAAAAATAAAATTTAAATAATCAATCACAGTTGCTTTTTGGCGAAGCAAAAAGGTTGATATTACAACAGATCAATCAGAAGCAATGAGCGATGAATGTTTCTAAGGAAATAAACTAACAGTTACTTTGACTGGTTTTCAGTTACTTTGACTGGTTTTCAGTTACTTTTACGTCTCAGTAATGCAGTTACCACTTTTGGGGAGTTGTAACAAGTAATTGTAACTAATGCATTTTGTATGACTGACTGTTGATCTTTAAATAATTGTAAGCGTTGGTCGCAGGTGCATGTACCAAGTCCTCTCAGTAAAACTATTAAATCCAGGTTAAAAACAGTTCTTTTTAGCTGTGCAAACGACTGAGGGATTTTATCTTTGCTATTTTTAATGTACTGTGAATATTTGTGATTCTGCCTGATATGATTGGTTCTATCTTGCAGCACTTTGAGTTGCCTTGTGTATAAATTGTGTTTTACAAATACATTTGCCTTATAGGATCAGGATTAAAATGCTATTAATTGTGTAGCCCAAGAATGGAGGCTGTGGCTGTTGCAAGACATTCTTTGTATTCTCTTCTAATTTGCCATTTCTTATTTTAATGACTCATTCTTATCTTGTATCACAGTCAATCCCACAGACACACACACACACAGACACACACACACACACACACACACACAGACACACACACACGCACACACAGTGGCTGGACATGTGGAGGACTATATTGTAATGCAGCCTGCAGGCGCCACTGCTCTTCAGCTCTCTCCATGATTAGCATCAGCCTCTTCTTCATAATGAGACACTTTTTGTCGTTGACCTGGAAGCAGCGTGTCCTGGGTCATATTGCACTGGCACATTCATACATTATTGATAAACTTTGTACAAGCATGAAACATTGTGTGGTGTGAATCACCAGTTAGTCATTTAGTGGTTGTCTATGAATATGTGCAGAGAGTCAAGGATTTTCTTACAAAGACAGTGATTAGAGAATATATAATATTTAAATCCCCATACATTTCTGTCTGACTTCAGTAATTATACTCAAAAAGGGAAATGTACCCAACAAAATAGGATAAAAGCTTTGTGATTGATAAGGCTCTTCTAAAAGAGCTACTTGTGCAAGATATTCTCTCATTTGTGTGACTCTCATTCATCATCGAAGCTCTTTCACTTGAAATCAATAAGGGCGTATTGGACAGTGGCAACCATTTAGGTCAAATCAAATGCTTATGTCTCAATTCTTGATTCTCAGAGCACTGCCAGCCTTTTCAGATAATAGTTCAGTAGATACAGCAGCCACATACAAGCAGACTATGCATTTTTATATCAATATTTAATTACAGCAAAAATAATTAACAATCCTATAAAACATTCTGTTCTTTGGTGTCATGGGCCACAACATTAACCATAAACAAACCCTCGCAGTTTAAAGCAGTGATGCAGAGCACAATGAAATGAGTGTCCATAAACGCCTCCTCCACAAATGAGCACTTCACTGTGACCTGGAGGAGCTCCTCCATCACCTCCTTTGTGCCAGCGCTGCGGTGAGAGGAGTTTTGTTTTACTTCAAAGGCTTTTTAACAACACCATTCATTTGAACCTCATTACAGGAGAGACTCATGCAGCGTCAAATTACTATTTGATTTGTGGCATTATTAAAACCAACTCCCTCCAACCATAAATTAGCAGAAACATAAAAACATGTTCTGGACAACAGGGTGGCGCTCCCTACCAGGCCATCAAAATATAAATTACAATTATAAAAGCACTCGTAGAGGGCAGATGACTGCCAAGAGGCACAGTTCCATGCATTAGGCCACAGATGCTCTGGGTAGAGCTGCTTCTGGGAACAATGGAGTGGTGCATAGTAATAAACATTCTAAACACTCTGCCACTTTAGTTTTGTTCTTAAACATGTTTGCAATAAACCCAACATTTTTCATCATTTTTGTGACAGTGACATAGTTTTGTTTACATATATACACATATTTTATACATTAACTGGTGTGGATTTTCAAAGGCTTCACAGTTTAGGGTTTAGGAAAGAATTACTGTTGGTAAAACGTAATGAGATCTTTACATTTTTATTGCAGAAAACTCAAATGTCATGGTTTGCAACCTGTAATTTAGATTATTATCATAAGATTATTTTATCGTATTGAATTTTGAGGAACCCTGCCATTCTCTGTTGAAAACACTAGCAACGTCAGCAGAATTTATAAAAAACCAAAAAAAAACATTTATTTTAGTCTATTACATTCTTGTATCACGACACAAACATCATTAACAATCACATATTAGGAAAATGCTGTCAGTCGTGTACTGCTTATGTGGCACATTACACATGAAGTCCTGTATACGTACTGTATACGTCCTGTATACATGTTCCCATTTGTCCACATTAAAGCGGACGTCAGATCCGATAAACTGAAGTGGAGCTATGAGACATGACGAAACGAGGACCCGCAGAGTGGATATGACCATGAGTCAACTTCCATTGTCCAGTGTGTCCTGCATCTGATCTGATGAAGCTCACATAATTACACATACACTATGCTTCAGGAGGCAGCAGACAAATACAAAAATATGTGTGTATTTGTACACGGTCAATGACATCTCACTACATGATATTTGTCACTATCTATCTAACACACACTTAAACAGACACGCACGCACGCGCACACACACACACACACACACACACACACACACACACACACACACACACACACACACACACACACACACACACAGGTCAAGAAAGTGATGATTTAAACAAAAAAAGCACTGTCCTTGGCGCCGTGTTTCCTCGCCGTAGACAGTTCTAAATAAGCAAAGACAATTAATGTCATAACACATTTACGGAGACACAGTGAGTGCGGGGGATTCCACTGTGGCAACCATCTTTCTGGATGTTAGAAGAAGGACCCGGGGACGAGGGGAGGGTACCAGGCATGACAGCAGGGCGGACAAACTACCAGCCACCATCTCCCAAAACCGAGCTTGATACAAGACAGTTACACATTTGAGGCCAAATACTGTATAGTCAGTAAACTGTTGAATAATGTAAGCCCAAAACAAAAAAGTGTTTGTTTCAGGCATTTTTTATCAGTTGGTTCTGAGTTACTGTTATCATTCTCATCTTGACCTTCTCCTGCACGGTATTGAGTTCCCAAGAATGAATCACTTGCAGGGTTAACTTCTCGGTTCTCATTGATTGTGTCTTATATAAGTATTCAAGTCTTTTTTTACAGTGTTCCTCCACCTTCTGCTGTTTGTCTGATGTCAAGTGTTTCAGGGGATATTTTGTCATGACAGAAACAAGTTTTTTTCTGCAACGCTTTCATTAGTGAGATTTTGGAAAATGCTATACTTTTCTAGAGGTTTTTTGTTCTCCAAAATAACATATATTTTAAATCTTTCACTTGACTGGGACTGGTTTTGTTCATGACGAGCAAAACCAGTCCCAAGAAGTTCCTTTCAAAACTACACATGATAGAATGATCCACAGCAGTACGAGAAGGAGCTCTTGCTGGCAATGTCTTGAGGCTTTTTATTAAGTAAGTAATGTTTATTTACAGACCAAGGTCCCCCAAAGCGCTTTACAATATTCAGAGTTCAGACATTGTTCCAATCATTCCACACACAGTGATGACAGAAGCGTGTTGCCGAACACACTGGCGCATCAAAGCCCCAATCAACACCATCCATTCATTCTATCATCTACTTTAAAAAAAAGTTGTGCAGTTTTGACGTTTTTTTCCAGTGCTAGAAATTTATATACAGTGTATTAGATTGTTATTGTAATATTTTCATTTCAAATTGTGACATAACTTTTGGTCATATCTTCCAGCCCTAGTGTGTGTGTGTGTGTGTGTGTGTGTGTGTGTGTGTGTGTGTGTGTGTGTGTGTGTGTGTGTGTGTGTGTGTGTGTGTGTGTGTGTGTGTGTGTGTGTGTGTGTGTGTGTGTGTGTGTGTGTGTGTATTTAAAGAATAAAGAATTGAGAAGAACAAAAGATAATCTTTTCCCACCAAATTAAGTACAAAATTGGCTTTTTCTCACCGCTGCTGCTGTGGTCGTCCACCAGCACGATCTCTTTGAGCAGGTGGCGTGGCGTCCGCTGGATGGCTGTGTGCACGGAGCGCAGCAGCACAGACAGGGCCTCGTTCACAAAGATGAAGATGATGCTGAGCTGAGGAAGATCTGATGAGTATGACATGTTTCTGCATCTGCCGGAAGAGCAAATCACAAAAAATGTTAAGGCAGGTGCAAGAACAGAATCCATACAGGAGGATTGGACGGCTTAAATAAGTGTGCCAAGACTTAACCAGACAACTGTGCCTCGATTCCTAGGCCCCGATAGGAGAACACATGCTGCTCTGTGTGCTCAAATGATTTTGAACTGCACAACAGCCTGGAAACTTGAGACAAAATCTTTGCAGGGATTTGGGGACCAATCACAGAACAGGGACAGACGTCAAGCTGATGATGATGCACTAGAACTATTACTATTACGTCACTTCACTTTACTTCACTGTACTGCTGTCACCTTACATTGTGTAAGTAAGTAAGTAAGTAAGTTTTTATTTATATACCGCCTTTTCACTGCAGATCTGAGTCTCAAAGCGGTTTACAATTGTTAATTTTGGGCATTTGTCTCTCACTCCACACAGAGATGGGAGCGGGGCCAGTACAGGAGGCACATGCCAGAACTATTGGACATATTTTTAGTGGTAGGGGAAACCGGAGTACCCGGAGGAAACCTACGCAGACACGGGGAGAACATGCAAACTCCACTCAGAAAGGCCCTGGTCCGGCCGGGATTCGAACCCAGGACCTTCTTGCTGAGAGGCGAGAGTGCTATCCACTCAGCCACCGTGCCGCCCATGCACCATGTGCACCATGTGCACTTGTATATTGTAAATAGTAACTGTAACTCTATTTTAAATTTAAATTTATTCTTTAGAAGTGTTTTTTATTCTTATTTTTATTATCTCTTTTTGACTGTTGCACTGAGCCAAAGCAATTTCCTAGTCTGTGACCTCCTGTTACTTACGTGGCAATAAAAATGATTCTGATTCTGATTCTGATTCTACTACGACGCTATCTTGCCTCATTCTGCAAACCTCATTTGTCTATTTCGCTTCATCCTTTCTGGTCATACTTTTGTCGCAGGATATTTGCAATTGAGCAGAATTTACATGCAGAGGCACATGAGAGACATTTGTAGCGCCCAATAAACGGCTTTTGACAATCTTAAACCACACTTCTCCTACAAGAAAATTAACAAACAGTTTCCAGGCTACTTATCTCTAGTGAAAGTAACTTAAAAGTAATGCAGTAATGGTGTAATACTTTACCATTCAGAGACAGTAATATTGTGGCGTATCAATAATTGTAGTATTAATAATAATAATAATACATCAAACTTGTATAGCGCTTTCTTGGACACGCTTCACATGGGGAGTAGAATACAATAATAAAAGGGGTTTACGGAAAAGCTTGTTTGAAAAGATGGGTTTTGAGTACAGATTTAAAGTTAGATAGTGAGTCAGAGTTTCTAATGAGCAGTGGGAGTGAGTTCCAGAGGGTTGGGGCGGCAATGGCAAAAGCTCTGTCCCCCAAGGTTCGGCGGTTAGTGCGGGTGATGGGGGTGAGGAGGTTGGAATTGGCTGAGCGAAGGTGGCGGGTGGGTTGGTGCTGCTGTAGGAGCTCAATAAGGTAGGGCGGGGCCAGGTTATGGAGGGACTTGTAGGTGAGGAGGAGGAGCTTGTAATGGATGCGGTATTGAACGGGGAGCCAGTGGAGGTGCTGGAGGACAGGGGTGATGTGTTCTCTGGACCGGGTGTGGGTGAGGAGGCGGGCTGCAGAGTTCTGGATGTATTGCAGTTTTTGGAGATGAGTGGTGGGAAGTCCGTAGAGGAGGCTGTTGCAGTAGTCGAGTCTGGAGGTGATGAATGCGTGGATGAGGATTTCGGCTGTTGGCTGGGTAAGGGAGGGGCGGAGGCGGGCAATGTTGCGGAGGTGGAAGAAGGAGGTTTTGGTGATGTGTTTGATGTGGGTTTGGTATGAGAGGGTGGAGTCCAATATGATGCCAAGGTTGCGTACAGAACATGAGGGGGTGACAATGTGACCGTCAATGAGGAGGGTGAAGTTCTGGACAGAGGGCAGGAGAGTTTTGGGGCTGATGATGAGGAGTTCTGTTTTGTTACTGTTGAGTTTGAGAAGGTTATTGTCCATCCAGGTTTTAATGTCGAAGATGCAATTTTCGATGGTGGAGCGAATAACCGGGGTGATGGATTTGGTGGAGATGTAGAGTTGCGTGTCGTCGGCATAACAGTGGAAATGGAGCCCATGATGGCGGATGATCTGACCGAGGGGAAGCATGTAGATGGTGAAGAGGAGAGGGCCGAGCACGGAACCTTGGGGGACACCATGGGTGACGGGGGAAGTGTGGGACTTGCAGTTGTTGACAGACACGAAATGGAGACGATTGGAGAGGTAAGAGGTGAACCAGAGGAGTGCTGTGCCAGAAATGCCAATGGATTGTAAACGGTGGAGGAGGATGGAATGATCTATTGTGTCAAATGCAGCGGAGAGATCGAGGAGAAGGAGGATGGATAAGGAACCAGAGTCGGCAGCGAGGAGGAGGTCGTTAGTAACTTTGAGAAGTGCCGTTTCTGTGCTCTGGTGTGAACGGAATCCAGATTGAAATGTTTCGAAGAGATGGGAGGAGTGGAGATGTTGGTGGAGTTGGTTGATGACGGCGCGTTCCAGGATTTTTGACAGTAACGGGAGGTTGGAGATGGGTCGAAAGTTGTCCAAGTTGTCAGGGTTGAGGCCGGGTTTTTTCAGGAGGGGTGTGATGGAGGCTAGTTTGAGCGGGGAAGGGACAGAACCAGAGGTTAGGGAAGTGTTGATGATGCGGGTGATGAGAGGGATGAGAGTTAGTTGACAGGTTTTGAGGAAGGAAGATGGGATTGGGTCAAGCTGGCAGTTGGAAAATTTCATGGTTGAGAGAAGTTTGGTGGTGTCAGAGGGAGAGAGGGGGGAGAAGGAAGGAAGGCTATGGACTGTGAGTGCAGTGGGTTCAAGTTCGGAGTAGGGAGAAGAGGAGGAAGTGGAGGCAAGTGAACAGTGTATGGTATGGATTTTGGTATGGTAGAATGACAGGTAGTTATTGCATTTGTCTGTAGTGAAAGTGGAGGTTATATTGTCCTTGGGTTTTGTCAGATTTGCAAAAGTTGAGAATAGGGTGCGGGGGTTGGAAGAATTTGAGTGGATGAGTTGTGAATAGTAGTTGGACCGGGCAGTTTTGAGAGCAGAGTTGTATGTGGTTGTGGCTTGTTTGTAGGCTTGTGCATGAACGAGGAGACCAGTTTTTATATGGAGCCTTTCAAGTTGTCTCTTTTGTTTTTAGAGACTGTGGAGATCTGGGGTATACCAAGGGGCGGAGGTAGAGAAGGAGACTGAGGCAGTTTTCATGGGGGCAATTTGGTTGAGGCAGGAGGAGAGTGTGTGGTTATAGAAAGTGACTAGATCGGAGGCAGATGGATCTGAAGGGAGGGAAGAGCTGGATAGGGCATGGGATATGGAGGAGGAGAGAGATATGGGACAAATGGACTTAAGATTTCGGAAAGTAATTGTTTGTGTCTGTTTGGTGGTGGGAGAGGGGGTAATTATGTCCAGGGTGATGGCCAGATGATCAGAAATGGTCAGGTCGGTGAGTGTGTATGGTGAAGGAGGGGGTGGAACAGACCAGATCCAGGATGTGTCCATGGTTGTGTGTGGGTGAAGTGACGTGCTATTACTTTGAAATAACAGTAATACATAATTTATTAAGTTTTTGAAGTAATTATTAGCAAACAGCTAAAAATGAAACATAGACTAGAACAGAAATTTACCACCAAATATTAATAGAAGAACAGTTGAAATAGCCATAAACTGCACAAGTTAAAATCCATAAATAGATTTTCCCGTTGCCCCCTCCCATACACAGTAGTGTTGTGGAGTCTAATAGGTCTGGGTTGAAAGCACTTCCTGAGTCTGTCAGTGGAGCAGAAAGAGCAGCCTTCTGCCTCATCGCCAGTGAAATAGCTTTGATTCAGGCGTATCATATTTGGAATATTTTGGGTTTCATTGTAAATGAGGCAAAGGAGTTACTTTGCTGCTTTTTTCAGTAAATAGAAGAATCATGTGGAGCATCAGAAACGAGGAGAGGAATAGGTCAAGGTCAAGTGTATTTATATAGCTCATTTTTTTATTTTTTTATTTATTTATTTACACAACATGTAATTTAAAGTTTACATTCAATTTATTTATGAAAAAGTATGTACCCGTCCGGTCGCAGGTCGGCGATCGGCCGCGTGAGAGAGATGCGGTCACTAAGATAGCTGTTGTAACCATAGTATCGGAACTTCTTCAGAGCCGCTCTTCGACTCTCAGGTCCCAGGTCTCGACCCCAGTGAGCGAACAGCGAGGAGGCGGGTTCAGAGGCAGCGTCTAGAGAAGACTCCTCTCCGTCCTTCTGTGGGACATCTGCAAAGAGAAGATCATTCATAAAGGAAAAAAATAAGTAAAATAATCACAAAAAGCATTTGAACATTGTAAGTCCTGAGTCTCGGCACCAGCAGGAGGCCAGTCCCTATAGTCCTCAGAGTCCGAGTTGTTTCACAAGACACTAACATGTCCCGAAATTACTTTGGTGCGAGGCCATGGACAGACTTACACACAGACTTACATACAGTATATTCTCTGAGCCACAGGAAGCCAGTGCAGAGACCTGAGCTCTAGAATAATGTAAACAAATGGACAAATATTTGTTCACATTATTCTAGTTCTCAGGTCTGCAGATATGTAGATAAATATGACGTGGAAGAGGTGCCCATACAAGTGTTGAAATATACTTGGTATATATATAAATAAAAATAAGTAGTGACAAAGACAAAAGATGGAGAGATTTGGAATCATGTCACAGCAGAAGACATGTTTTATTGTTGGAACACAGCTATCCCAGCAACCACACAACCAGAGTTTTCACAGCGTTTTCTTGGTATTATACCAAGGCAAAATACAGGAACTCCCCTGGGCACCTGCCAAGTCTTCAATAGATAAGTTAGCTTCGACCTTCAGATAATCAAAACATCAAGAGGAAAATCACACTGAGCTTTTATACAACACAGTTGAGGTCCTTCAAGGTTTGTGTTGCTTTTGGGCTGTTGTTGTCCTTGTGCGTCAAATCCAACAGTCAAAAACACAGCATGCTCCACTGCTATTTTAGGGCACGCAGAATAATCGTATAATAGAAAGAGCTAAACTATAACACTCTGGTTCTATGGAAAATAACACAAAAAATGGCGCTTTCATGTCTGTTTTGGCTTCGTCACAAACTGCTGAAGGAGAAAGCTCAACACAGAATCACAGGGATTTCATTGTCATTCCAAATAAAAGTGTTTGTGAAGTCTTTGTGCAGACTGAGGTAGACTCTAATCCCATTTGAAGGCCTTGTCTCACGTGTTTGCGAACGATGCAATGTTACACAGCGACGTGACCGGTTTGGACCAAATGTCACGCCGAGCATTGTTGTGTGGATGTGAAGAGAATTATAACAGCGATGAGGCCGTATGTCACCTGCTGCGGTGCACACAAGCCTGACCTCCCCCCTCTATAGAGTGTCCTACTGGTGGTCTATTGCCTCAAGGCGAATGCAATATGAATGAGCTTTCAGGATGTGTCAAGAAATAGCATTTAGAAATCAACGTGAAATACTGTGACACTTGACGAGAGAGTGTCTGAATTTCAAATGGGAAGGTTCCACAGTATGGTATTTTTTGCTCATTTATAGTTGTCGAATTACATTAACTTTGTGTGAGCATGGAAATCATTTGGAGGTTTGGATACAAGCAAGTGGTTGGTTCGCAATTAGTGCCTTGTTCCAATGAATTACACGGACGTACTGCAACATACTGTAAACGAATAAATATAAAATAGCAATAACAACAAAAATATATGTATTGAACAAATGGGGTGATTTTGCCTTTTCTGAATTGTTACTCACATGTTTAGACAGTAGGCTTTTGACGCGGTAAAAATAAATTGTTTTTTTAAATTTGGTTTTTATAGCAATTTGTGCAGCTTTTTGATACATTATGATATAAGATTGTTTTCATTAAAAAAACTTGACATTTTGTAATGGACACAAAAAGCTCAGGAGGCCCATATAGTAGTTTGTGAGTCATTCATAAATAGTGTGTATTTATTGTTTTTGCCTAGTATTAAATTGACCTAATTTTGATTTGACATGTTTTTTTGCCTTGATTTGTGTGTGAGTATGTATACCCTGTGCATTGTCTTTTTTTTGTAGATTGTCACTCGGATTCTGTATTGATTTGATCTTATTTCCAGTCCTGCATTTGGGTCTTCCTTTCATTTTTAATTTGTTTTAATTTATATTATGCCACATTATATGCACTGACCTGAAGCAGTTTGGGATTTTACATTTAACGCACACCTTTTCATAGGTTTGGAGACCCATCATATCAAATGCAGTATTTTCCTATCCGAGAGGTTTCACGTGTTGTAATCAGCTCAAAACCAACACACACAGTTTACGTCACTTGGCCTGAAATGTCAAATCTCGCAGACATGTTGAGCCTCAAAAGCACTTTATTGAAATTGGAAGATTGTCTTGCAACAGTACCAAAAGTTTTTAGCAATTAACACTTTCCCACTTTATCTAAATACTTTCTCGGCTTGGATGGATCAGCACTGTGCAAAGAGCATAGTCTGCCACACAAATATAAATTCCGGGCCAAATGCATTAGTAAATCAGACTGTTGGAGTCCACATTATCAAGTCATCACCAAGACAAAGTGCATCTAAATTGTGCTGCTCTTTAGTGGAAAGAATTAATATAACTTTCTTTCTATTTTTATTTTGATCAAGCACAATGTTTTGTGGGTTTTTTCTCTACCTTATTCTGGGCACCTTGGACCATGTAGCCTTTGAAACTCAAGTAGAATTCAACATACAAGCTACAAAATGCATGTTTCTGATATTTTTTGTAGGACAGAACAAATTGTAAGAAGTTTCTATTATTAATGTTCCGTCAATACAATTTTATGTTATATTACATCTGTATGCATCTGTAAGATAAACACACAAACCAAACCTTTGTAATGTACAATGTATGAGATGATGTGTATGTGGACCGCTCTCTCTCAGCCGATCACTTGGCAAGGCAAGGCAAGGCAAGGCAAGGCAAGTTTATTTGTATAGCACAATTCATACACAAGGCAACTCAAAGTGCTGAACAAGATAGCATTAAAATCATAAATAATTACAGAACATTAAAACGAAAGATAAAAATATAAAATCCCTCAGTTGTATGCACAGCTAAACAGCACCGTTTTTAACCTGGTTTTAAACATTGTCAGAGAGGAGGCCTGTCTCACATCTTCAGGAAGATTGTTCCAGATTTTAGCAGCATGAATCTGAAAAACACACTTGCATTGAAACTATTTTTGTTGATCGATTTAATTGGTTCCTGCACTTTTTTTTTTAGTTTGTTTTATTCTTTAAACCTTATTATATTCATATATTTGTCTGGTCCACAGTGACTTTTGCAAATGTATTCCAATATGGTTTTACTGCAAATGGCAAATAAAATGAATATGAATCCGACCTCTCAGCCCAAAGAGTATAAATCTTTGTGACTTTCTTTATGCAACATGAAGACAGCTTTACAAAGTCACTTTTACAAGACTTTTTTTTATCTGTTGGGACAAACAAGAAGGATTATTCATGAAAAGAGTTGGGTACCCAGCTACACTGCAAAAAGTGATGAATAATAAGTCAAAATTCCTAAAATTTGGCAAAATGTACTGTATCTTAATTTCAGAATCAGAATCAGAATCATTTTTATTGCCACGTAAGTAACAGGAAGTCACAGACTTGGAAATTGCTTTGGCTCAGTGCAACAGTCAGAAAGAGATAAATAAAAAAAAATAAAGAATAAAAAACACTTCTAAGAAATAAATGTAAATTTAAAATAGAGTTACGGTTACTATTTACAATATACAAGTGCACATGGTGCACACAATGTAAAGTGACAGCAGTACAGTGAAGTAAAGTGACGTATGATCCAACAGCAGAGGGGAAGAAACTGTTCTTGTGGCGGGAGGTTCTAGTCCTGATGGACCGCAGCCTCCTGCCTGAGGGGAGTGGTTGGAATAGTCCATGTGCAGGGTGAGAGGGGTCGGCTGTGATACGACCAGCCCGGCCTCGAGCTCGGGCGACGTACAGGTCCTGCAGCGATGGAAGGCTGCGGCCAATCACTTCCTCTGCAGAGCGCACAATGCGCTGTAGTCTCTGTTTGTCCCTGACTGTGGCTCCAGCGAACCACACGGTGATGGAGGAGGTGAGGATGGACTCGATGATGGCCGTGTAGAACTGCACCAACATCTGTGCAGGCAGCTTGGCTTTCCTGAGCTGCCGCAGGAAGTACATCCTCTGCTGGGCCTTCTTCATGAGGGAGATGATGGTCGGCTCCCACTTGAGGTCCTGGGTGATGATGGTGCCCAGGAAACGGAAGGACTCCACAGAGGTGATGGGGGAGTCCATCACGGAGGGTGGGGGCGGGGGGACAGTGCTCTTCCTGAAGTCCACAATCATCTCCACTGTCTTCTGGGCGTTCAGCTCCAGGTTGTTACCACTGCACCAGGACACCAGCCGGTCCACCTCCCTCCTGTAGGCAGACTCATCGTTGTTGGAGATGAGTCCAATGAGGGTGGTGTCGTCCGCGAACTTGATCAGCTTCACAGAGTCGTGGCTGGAGGTGCAGTGGTTGGTGTACAGGGAGAAGAGCAGGGGAGAAAGAACACAGCCCTGTGGGGCTCCTGTATTTATAATCCGAAAGTTCGAGACATTCTTCCCCAGACGCAATTAGAGCACATTTTGACTGCCTTAAAACAAGATTTGCCAAAGGGACAAAACAAAATAATCTTGTTTTAAAAAGATGCAAGAAATGTCTCCCTTGAAATGTGAAAATAAAGCAGCAGTTCTTGAAATAAAACTAAATGGCATTATCCCATTGGCGCAAATCTTGTCAGAATGTACTCGTATAAAGACAAAAAACACTATTACAGCAATATTTTCCTCATATTTGATGATTTTTGCAGTGTATATTTCTGACTATAAGTTAAAAAAGGGCAATCAGATCTATGCTGGGGTCACTGTTGTAAAGCAGTGTGTTTGAATGTGTTTGAGTGTGCATGAGAACCCTCCCTTCCCTGCATACGTCTGCTACTATCATCCTGTGGGCGTGAAGTCTTGCTGCTCTGATCCTCGGCTGGAGCTGCCACCTGCCTGATTTGAGCGTAACCCACTCAAAACCACTCCCTGACATGAGCTTCACTTGTGATTTCCTCCCGGTGTTTAAAAGGGGGGGTTGTCGGTGTGATGTTAAACCAGACCTCCCTCTGCTGTCTGTCTGTCAAAACGTGGAGGAGTAAAAGACCACACTACAGGCTCGGAAATTTGACAGATGATAAGTTCAGGAGC